ACGTTTCTTTTTTTTCTTTTCTTTTCTTTTGCTTAATCCCTTCACTTATTTCACCCAGCCCACACAACTTCCCTCTCCTCTGATAACTGGCAATCTGTTCTCTGTAATTGAGTCTGTTTCTATTTTGTTTAGTCTGTTCATTAGATTCCACATCTAAGTGCCATCATATAGTACTTGTCTTTCTCTGATTGGGTTATTTCATTTAGCATAATACTCTCCAGGTCCATCCATGCTGCCACAAAAGTTAAGACTTCTTTCCTTTTTAAGGCCAAGTACATTGTGTAAATGTACCACAGCTTCTAACTTTTTAATTTTACCATGTGTATACCCACATCTAGTATTCATTCTCTTTGTATACTGTTGAGTGAGAAAAGAATGTGCTAGGCTTGAATTTTATGTTTTCTCAATTAATATTTAACATTTGTATTCAGGTGGAACCTATCGTAGAAATGAAGGTAATATAAACACTGTAACAAACCATACAGTGGGAGCAGTCACGAGAACACAACGGTCAGGATGGCAAGGACAGGTACCTGTCTGGGTCACTGGTGCAGCCCCACACCCAGACAGGCAGACACTCACTGAAAATGTGTTTGCGGAGGTGGGGGGTATGGCAGGGAATGAGTGAATGAATGGGTAACTTGTGGAACAAAAAGACCCAAAACACAACGTCTTGAACATAGTAAAAGTCTTGTTCTCCTGTGACAGTCCAAAGCAGGGCTTTAGGTTTGAGGAGAGGAGTCAAGAACCAGACAGTTTTTCAGCGACCCAGCAAACCTCCTCTCGGCCCTCTTCCCCACCCTCTTCAGCAAGTAACACTCCGGTGGTTTTCATGTCCGTTCTAGCTCACAAAAAGAACAGACATGAAACATACCTGGTGGGTTAGTCTCTTAACCAGGTCTGGAAGCCACACATGTCATTTCTCTCATCATGTAAGAGAAAAGGTGGCCGTGTGGCCATATCTCACTGTAAAGGAGCCAGGAAACGTGTTGTTCTCTAGCATGTGGCTACTTCATTCCTGTGGGGAAAGTAGGATGGATTTGGGTGGGTAGCTAGCGAGTTCTTCCACAGGCACCTTCTTACAGTACCAGTCGTTATTTCAGAATGTGAATTAATTTCTACAGTTTGAAGCAGTAAAACATAAAATGTACAAAAGGGTACAAAAAGAAATTCACATGTGCCACTAATCATTCACTAATGAGAATATATTAACTATTCACCTTCTCTTAGAGCTCAAGGTCAGAATAATGAACCTGTTTTGACTAGCAGCATTCCATGTAGCCTTCAGACTGAGCTGTTTGTATATTCAGAAAAGGCTTTTTTTTCTTCTTCTTTTTTTGTTTTTGGTGTCCTCCATAAAGGCTTTGTCAGCATTTTATAGTTTTAGAAGACGAATTTGTTTTTGCTCCAACTGGTTTCAAGTTCTTCAGTGGTCAAACAGGTTTTGAGCCTTAGCTTCAATTCAGGATGGGGAGGGGAGGCAGTGCAGGGGAAAGAACTGAAAATAAATTCCACAGGCTAAAGCTTTTTAAGAGATTTTTGCTCTTTTTAAGTTTGAAGTTATTTTTAGAATTTAGAAGGGTGATTCTTAAATTTCAGTTCCTTCTGATATCCCAAAATTGTTCAAATAATTTATATTATAGCAAATCAATGTATTTTGAAAATCACTGGTAGGACTTATATGAGGCAAAATTTTCTGGATTATTAACAAGATATTACCTGTCCTTTTTTTAAAAAATGCAATTCAAAAAGCAATTTCATTATTTTATACTTAAAGTCATAATCTGTTCTTTGCTATTTCTTAAAATTACCTATTTAAAATATTCAAGAAAACATTTTTTGTAAGAATTCTTTTAACTTCAACCTTTAACAAATGAAAACATTAATGAACTACTCTAACCACACCTAGAAAAGAGTTTTAGACATAAAACAGCTCAAACCCTTCAAAAAGCATCAGGCCAGTGTTGTCGCCTAAGACGAGTACTATTTACAACTAACACTTGCAAGTCCAGTAACGTACTTCTCATACAGTGAAAGCGTCACATATTTCAGCCATTATTACAACCTGTACATTCCATTTGCCCTTTCCCCCATCTCGGTGAAGGGGGGAATTGCTGATCTACTTCATACCTTAATCTTCCCTCCCTAAACCTTAGACAAAGAATGGAAGTCAGAATTTATAAAACATTTTGCACCCATGGAAATAGGTACTTCTGTTCCTGTACTCATAGATCTTTACTATCCTTGTTAGTTTCACTCCAGAAAAAATGGAGGTAGGTTGCTACTTGTAACACATTCCTCACGTGTTCCTGTTTCCAAAAGGTATGGGGGGGACCTCAACTACCCTAACAAAGGAACACTGTGTACTTGCATGCTGCCTTAGTGAAACCAGACCATGAATATTCAACAGTCTCAAATGTGTGGAGGACAGCCTGAAAATTGGAATTATAAAGTTTTACAGAGAAATACTGAACAATATTGAAAGTCACCATTTGGCATTTACATCTATAAAAACTCAGAGCCTTGGGAAGTTCTTAAGTGTATGGACCAAACATTCCTTTTTAAAGTGGGGTGGGGAGGATGTTGAATAAGTTAGTACTTACTTGTTTTAACCCTGGAGATGAGCTAAACTTTCTCACATTTTAACTGTTTATTGCAAAGCTTTCAATTATATAATATACCTGTCTTTTTAAAATATTTCTCAAAACCTGTATTAATTATATCTTGGTTCTTTCTGTTCAGGAAAAAGTCAATCTTCTAACATCTTCTAAGTATAATAACTAAAGAAATATCTTTAAATTTATGTAATGCTATTATGGTTTATTTTTTGTTCTCACTCTCTGAATATTTCTTAGCCTTAATCTAAAGATTGTTATTTCTTTTGAAATAACCAGTTGCATATCATTATAAATGTATTTCATTGATACTGTTTTAAAGTGCTCTGAAGGTAACTGGTTGTGCTTTGGCTAAGAATTCATGTTTCGGAACTTTAGGATAACCTAATACTATTGCACTAGATCTTACACTAAAGATTTTGATAACCCATCAAAGATTACCAGTGGGAACAAAGGTTCTTTGTCATAGGTGTATCACTTTTTACCAGGAAGATCACATGCGGGTAATAAGAGCAATTCTGCTTTGGTTTGAAGAGAGCCATTTTAAAGAGGCCTCTTCTAACTTAAACTTCAGATGTATAAAAAGGTGAATATACTTGTCATAATTTTTTAATTTCTCAGGTTTATTAAAATTATCTAACTGTGAATTACCTAAGCATATAAATCAGAGTTCAGTAGCAGATGTGGACTTTTCAGTTCCTGGGACATCGTCTTACTATAAACAAATAATAGTAAAATATTTTCCTTGGGGATTTCATGGTTTTAGAAATAATGATGTCAGTAACAACAACTAATATTTATTAAATGTACCAGGTATTATTCTAGTACACATATTAGCTTTACACATATTATCCCACTTTAATCCTCATGACCACACTATGTTGAGTACGGTCACCATCTCCATTTTCCATATGAGCGAATTGAGGGTCAAGTAGGGTCATACAGGTGGTAAATGATGGAACCACCATTATAAATTAGATTATGCTGTCTCCCTTTGTTTCTATTCTTTGATGCAGCCTACATTTTAAACTTTAAAAAGTCTAGAGAAATTCTAGAATTTCAAACCAACATAAATGGAAAATAATTCATCCATCCTCCAAGCCAAAGATTTTTTCCTACTCTATTTATATGTTTATTTTTTAGAGATTTTTATATATGCAGATTTCATGGGACTACTGTGATCATTAATCAAATTTACTTTGTAAAGGGTTTTGCATAATGGGAGGTTATAAATATGTAGGTAAACACTTGTTGCTTCAATATGTGTTTGTTTTTTCAATGATACAGAGTAGGTGAATTGTGCTTAATGTCCTTTTTTTTATCTTCACTTGAGGACATTTTTTTCATTGCTTTTAGAGAGAGAGGCAGAGGAAAAGAGAGAGAAAAAAACATCAATTAGTTACCTCTCATAGGCTCCTCAACTGGGGATCAAACCCACAACCCAGGTATATGCCCTAACTGGGTATCGAACCCTCAACCTTTTGGTATAAGGGACAATGCTCCAACCAACTGAGCCACATTGGCCAGGGCATGCTTAAAGGCCTTTTAATGTAGATATGAATCTTTGAGTTCAGTGGTATTCATGTCCTCATCTCCAAATCAGCTATGTTTTTGAGTCTACTGAATGTCAAAAAAAATGTTCTTGTTTGCTTATTTGGAATCTTCCTTCATGGGAATTGCTTACTTATTCTGTGCTTAGTCATCTGAAATGTATGTAGAAAGCATTGGCTGGTACTCACAGAGGCAGTCAAAAAATCTTACAGATATGCCTCCTGATAAGCACTAAGCCCTCTTGGTCATCGTGAAATACATGTTATTCAAAGTAAGTTTTCCATTTGCATTTTTTCATCTTAGCAAATATAAAGATTAATATTAAATGTTGCAGGAAGGTTCTTGAGTTAACCCCGTTCTTTTCATGATATTTTATAGCTTAGGTATGTATTATCCAAAGCATATTAGCAATACAAACTGAAAAGTTATTAAATAAGCAGTGAATGTTTACATCAGTTTCTGAGTAGATTCAAGATCAGATTCCTCAGTTCTAGTTCTAATGCTACCCTCATATTCTGGTGATCTGGGTTTTGCCCTGTTTCGCTATAAAATGTGGATACTACCTAACAGGACATCGTAGGGTACAATGACCATTTCTATGATGCTGTTAGATATCTTTGTTAAAGGAATGATAGTTTAACATATACTTTTATGGAAGCAGTGTATAATAAACTATCATAATTTTACTGGTCTTAACAAACAAACAGAAATAGGAAGACTGGAATTCATCACATCTGCACATTACCTGATTTTTCTGTTTTGAATAAGGGAAAGTCTGTTGTTGCATATTTCTTACCATTTGTATCAGTCAACCAATGACTTCTTCTTTTACAGAACATGGAACATCTCAATTCCACACCATCTCATGAGAGTGCTCGAACTGATGATGTTGAACTGATGTCTGATGACAGGTAATTTTAGAATTTTCTCCTCACATGGTTTAGGACACAATGAATAGATTTTTTTCACTTAATGCAGCATGCAGTATAAAAGCTAAAAAGAATAGAATTAATGGACTATATGTTTACCAACAGTATTTTGTAGCAAGAAAAATACTTAGAATAAAAAATCTACACTGGTGCTATAAAAGACAAATACCGAATTCATGTTTGTGTTTCTGTGTTTGTTTTGTTTTGATTACTTTTGTGTCTTGTTTTGTTTTTGGGTTGTATAAGAATTTTATTTAGAGCTACTCAGCTTACCTTTAAGATAAAGTAAATCATAATTTCAGTGGATGAAAAGCATTGTTATCAAACACATTGACATTTTATGATATTTTGTTGTTGTTCATAGCAAAGAAAGTGAAAAAGACAGTGGACACACCCAGCATTTTGAGGTGAGTGGCCAACTATAAGACTGCAATTCCTGGGAGCAGAGTGAGGGAGCACAGCCTGTCAGCGGGGATAATGAGATTAAGGGACAGGGCTGTGATTGGTTAGAAAGGTAAATACCAGACGAAGATTACTTGAGAAATCATATGAACTCTATTCTTTTGCTTTTTCAATTCTTTTATTTTACTTGCACAGATAAACTTCAATAGCATGGAGATTTGTCTTTAGGTTTTCCATAATATAAAACAAACAAAAAAAACACAAAGCTACTGGTTTGATTTTCCATGATTTTATGCATTTTTAAGGGATTGAAATAGCCATTGAGTTTCAGTGGCTCTCTCACAGGCATTATTATCTCATTACCTTTCAAATTAACATAAAGTCAGTTTGAGATATTAAATCTAATTCATTTCCTGAGTTTTGTGTCTCATTTTAAGTTAACAGGGTAGACAATATGTCTCACTCCCTAACGCTGTATGTGCCTTACAGTTTCTGTTCCTTGCCTGGCTTCCCCGCTATCTTCGAGGGCATCACCCTGCTGACCCAAGTGTTGGGTTTCTTGGCTCTCGGCTCTGGCTCAGCTTCCTTTCATTCATGTGTGTAGCTCATCTGCCACTGCCGCATGCCTCCAGCCTCACCATCACTCTTGTTTTCTTTTTGGCAAGAGTTAAAGTTTTTCTCAACCTATTCTTGGATTCTGACTCTTGATACATTAATTATACATAGAACTCTCCCTCTAACCCAGTGATTCCTAATCTTTGTTTGGCATTGACCTTATTCACTCATGGATTAATTCAATAATTTACAGTGTATTGAGTCCTACTAGGTACAGGGACTGTTCTAAGAGCTGGGACTTAATAACAGCTGCAGCTGCTTGCTCCACAGAGTTGTGTAATCTAGCTGCTCACACATCTGAAAGCTGTGGATCCCCTTCTTAGAAAAACGCACATTCGTGTCAGAGTTGACATAAAATTGCTGGAAATCAATGGCCATCCCCTCCCTACCCTACGGACTCCTCATTTTCTCATTCAGTTCTCGTCGTGTGTGCGCTTCTTACTGACTCAGCCAGTTCAGCTTCCGAGCCACTTCTTTCATCTCTTATTTCCACTCCTTTAAGCTGCCTTCCGTGGGACCTAGGCAACAAGCTGGCATGCTTTTCTTGTCCCTGAGCTCCTTTTTTCAGAGCATGACAGTGTTGTTGTTTTTTTTCCTGGTTTTGTCCTTTCTCTGCTCTCTTCCTCTGTTCACAGCAAGCACCTACTTATCATGCCATTGAACATTATTTTAAAGAAAATTGCTTTGCCAGCCTCCAAGAGAGGTCTTCTCAGTTCTTCTCTTTTATATCTATTATCTTTTACGAGATAAAAGGGTACAGGGCAACCTTTGTGGTTGAACTTCATAACATTAACTCATAAGTTCCAGCTGGCACCCAAACTTAATTCAGAACTCAATTTGCCTTGGTACTTTTGTGGCTGGCTCCCGTGGCTGTAGCCGAATCATGGGGAAAGAATCTCAAATCCTTCTTCCATGTGCCCGGAGCTGTTTTCATGTGTGCAGTTACCCGTCAGTGCTCAGACCACTGTTGGCACTCCTTCAGCGCTCGCTATTAATAAGCATTGTCATCATAATAATTTCAGCTAGGAGGTTAAATTAGGTAGTGAGTTAAAATCTAGACTTAGCTTTCCATATCATCTTTCTTTTACAACTGCACCAACAGAGGAAAAAAAGACATCACTCCACAAGATGTGGGATCGAGTTTCTACTCATGAAGACATGTGTTTCTTTCTCTGAAGGAAATATTTTATTATTAATGAAGGGCTGTGAAAAGATCCACCTTACATTTTGAAATCTCTCTTCCTGTTTCTTGTGTGTTGATATTGTTTACCTTTTAATATATGTAGCACTTTCTAGAACTTATACAACTGAAGTAGTTAATGGACTTTCTGGTAATGCTACAATAATTTCCAAATTTCAGAGACAAAAATAAGTCTAGATTTTGGTTACATCTCCTCGAATGCTGCTTAGCCAATGTTTTATTTCAAGTCTATAGCATCGGATTGAGATGCCAAAATTACATGATAATGTATCCAATTTCCATTAAGGCAGATTTTGTCCTCAATATTATTGTCTATTAAATTCTCAAATTCATGCAAGATATAACAAATGACATCTATTAGGGAAAGATGGTTTGTCTTTCTCCTTTTGACCAGTGTTTCCATCAGAATGAGGAACACTAACCTTCAGCCTCAGCAATGCTCTGCAGGCTGGGCAGCTCAGGTGTTTGTAGGCTGGTGCACCTGGGCTGTGGACTCCATCACCATTTGGGACACAGACAGGAAGCAACCAATGAATGCATGGATGTGTGGAACAACAGATACATGTTTCTTTTCCTCTCTCCCTGTCTCTATGTTCCTCCATCCCTCCCCCCTCCTCTGCTTTTCCGCTCTCTCTCCTTTTTTCCCTCCTCTCCCTGCTCCACTCCCTCCCCATTCCTCCCCCTCTCTTAAAAATCAACAAGTAAAAATTTAAAAAACAATGCTCTATAAAGACAGGCTTTTCTGAAAGTCTGCTTCTCAAAGGCAATTCAGACACGACTGCAACTGTATTTTTTAAATAATCAGTTTGCAGCCTTAAATGAGCTTTAAATGTTTTTCTTTGAATGACTATGTTGAAAAGTGAAAATGGGCTTATCCGTTTGCTGCACATCTTTTTAATTTCCTATGATTATGGTACTAATCTTAAGCAAAAAGAGAGTCTGCTGTGATCTCAGATGGTGAACGAGACTTCTCTGTTTTCCATTTTATCTCAGTTTAAATGGTGTGTATTAAAATCTGACATATTGATAACGAAACATAAAGTTAGAGTCACTTCAAAATGCCAAAACCTAAAGTATGATTTCTTTGGGCATTTAGAAAGGTACACATTTGAATAGAATATGTTTTGGCCAACACAGAATGATGTGACATGAGGAACAGCCTAGGAAAGCTAAGACAGTGGCTAGGCAAACATGACTCCCAGCACAACCCCCTCCAAATTGCAACAAAGCTACAGAACAACCACTATTCCGAACCACTAGAAATCAAGCTGAATGGGAATCCTACAACTATGAAATTAAAGAGGAAACTACATCAAAATTGGTAGGAAGAGCAGACACATAGAATGAGCTGGCCTCACACTCATGTGTGGCAGATAAAAACTGGGAGAGATATATCTGGAGTTCAGGGATTCCAGTGTCAGGAAGATAAGTCCCCATTACTTCTGGCCCTAAAAACAGGTAGAATGGAGGCTGTGGAAGATCGTAACTGCTGGATTTGCAGGCAGTTCCTTGTACAGGGCTCACACACAAACTTACTCAGACTCACTTCTTCTGAGCTCCAGTATCAGAGCAGCAGTTTGAAAGGCACCAGAGGCATTCAGGGAGCAACTGACGTGTGTGGCATCAAGGCAAGAGCTGGGGGAAAGCCTTCTCCCTTACAGAAACCACTGGCAAAGGCCATTGATCCTTTTATGAGCCCTCCCCCATTCACAGAGCCAGCAGGTGGGTGCCAACCTAAGTCTCCATCAACATGAGTCACACTGTTTGCCCCACCCTGATGATTTCCTGAGGTTCTACCCCACCCAACTTTGGGGCCCACCCAAGCTGATTCCAGTGGCTTTTCTATACAAAGGGCTTGTCTTTGCTCATATTTCAGATTTTTTAAAAATCCTCTTTAACAAGCAATATCGGGCCTCAGCAAGCCACCTCACATGAATAGCCCCAGGCCTGGGCTTAGCTGCAGCTGGCCTTGGTTTACAGTTTGGCCACTCTGGGACACCTCCAATCCCAGCCCAAGTAGCAGCCTCCTACAGATTGCTTTGTAGCTTATGCCAAGTAGCCCCAGACAGAACACAGGTGGTGGCTGACTTTGGCCTATACATCCCAGGAAGCCCCAGATCCTGCACACCCAGTGGACAGCTACAGACCATGTCACAGCACCACCACCCAACCACCTCCACAAGTAACATTCTCAAGGAGTGGAGTCAGTGAGCACCAGAGACCTGCTGAAGTAAGTCCTGCTCTGTGGAGTGGGCCCCTGCACAGCTGATCCTCCACAGTATTCAGAGGTCGTTGATCAGTAGTCACAGCCAATCCTTGCAGCTGATCAGCCTGGATAATCCCTCCCATTGACATGCTAACAGCAATCATGGTTCAACTACAAGAGGAGGGTGTACTCAGCCCACACAATGGGTGCACCTCAAGTACTCAGCTTGAGTGGTAGGGGAGGATGTGCCACTGCACCCTACAGGACACCTACTACTTTGGGCCACACTAAAGAAATGGAGTCAAAGCAGTTTGACCTGATACATAGAAACAAACACAGGGAGGCTGCCAAAGTGAAGAAACAAAGAAATGTGGCCCAAATGAAAGAACAGAACAAAGCTCCGGAGAAAGAACTAAGCAAAATGGAGACAAGCAAGTTACTAGATGCAGAGTTCAAAACACTGGTTATAAGGATGCTCAAGCAACTTAGGAGAAGAGCAGATGAACTCAAAGAGAACATCAACAGTATAAAAAAGGTCATGGAAACCATAAAACAGAACCAGTCAGAAATGAAGGATACATGGTAACTGAAATGAAGAACAATTTACAGGGAGTCCACAGTAGAGTAGACTAAGCCAAGAATCAACTCAGCAATTTGGAATATAAGAAAGCAAAAAACACCCAATCAGAACAGCAAGAAGAAGAAAAAATCCAAAAAGAAAAATGAGGATAAAGTAAGGAGTCTCTGGGACAACTCCAACATTTGCATCATGAGGGTGATGAAAGGAGAAGAGAAAGAGAAAGAGCAAGGAATTGAAAACCTACTTGGAAAAATAATGACGGAAAACTTCTCTAATTTGGTGAAGGAAATAGAGTAAGTCTCAGAGACTCAAACAGGATAAACCCAAAGAGGCCCACACCAAGACACATCATAATTAAAATGCCAAAAGTTAAGGACAAAGAGAGAATCTTCACAGCAGCAAG